GTTTTGGTGTGGCAACTCGGATGTTCACACCAGTACGTGTTTTGGTGTGGCAACACGGATGTTCACACCAGTACGTGTTTTGGTGTGGTAACTCGGATCTTCACACCATTACTTGTTTTGGTGTGGCAACTCGGATGTTCACACCATTACTTGTTTTGGTGTGGCAACTCGGATGTTCACACCAGTGCTTGTTTTGGTGTGGCAACTCGGATGTTCACACCAGTGCGTGTTTGGTGTGGCAACACGGATGTTCACACCAGTGCTTAGTTTGATGAGGCAACTCGGATGTTTACACAAGTGCTTGTTTTGGTGTGGCAACTCGGATGTTCACACCAGTGCTTGTTTTGGTGTGGCAACTCGGATGTTCACACCAGTGCGTGTTTGGTGTGGCAACACGGATGTTCACACCAGTGCTTGGTTTGATGAGGCAACTCGGATGTTCACACCAGTGCTTGTTTGGTGTGGCAACTCGGATGTTCACACCAGTGCTTGGTTTGGTGTGGCAACTCGGATGTTCACACCAGTGCTTGTTTTGGTGTGGCAACTCGGATGTTCACACCATTACTTGTTTTGGTGTGGCAACTCGGATGTTCAAACCAGTGCTTGTTTTGGTGTGGCAACTCGGATGTTCACACCAGTACGTGTTTTGGTGTGGCAACACGGATGTTCACACCAGTACGTGTTTTGGTGTGGTAACTCGGATGTTCACACCATTACTTGTTTTGGTGTGGCAACTCGGATGTTCACACCATTACTTGTTTTGGTGTGGCAACTCGGATGTTCACACCAGTGCTTGTTTTGGTGTGGCAACTCGGATGTTCACACCATTACTTGTTTTGGTGTGGCAACTCGGATGTTCACACCATTACTTGTTTTGGTGTGGCAACTCGGATGTTCACACCAGTGCTTGTTTTGGTGTGGCAACTCGGATGTTCACACCAGTACGTGTTTTGGTGTGGCAACTCGGATGTTCACACCATTACTTGGTTTGGTGTGGCAACTCGGATGTTCACACCAGTGCTTGTTTTGGTGTGGCAACTTGGATGTTCACACCAGTGCTTGGTTTGGTGTGGCAACTCGGATGTTCACACCAGTGCTTGTTTTGGTGTGGCAACTCGGATGTTCACACCAGTGCTTGTTTTGGTGTGGCAACTCGGATGTTCACACCAGTACGTGTTTTGGTGTTGCAACTCGGATGTTCACACCAGTGCTTGTTTTGGTGTGGCAACTCGGATGTTCACACCAGTACGTGTTTTGGTGTGGCAACTCGGATGTTCACACCATTACTTGTTTTGGTGTGGCAACTCGGATGTTCACACCAGTGCTTGTTTTGGTGTGGCAACTCGGATGTTTACACAAGTGCTTGTTTTGGTGTGGCAACTCGGATGTTCACACCAGTGCGTGTTTGGTGTGGCAACACGGATGTTCACACCAGTGCTTGGTTTGATGAGGCAACTCGGATGTTCACACCAGTGCTTGTTTGGTGTGGCAACTCGGATGTTCACACCAGTGCTTGGTTTGGTGTGGCAACTCGGATGTTCACACCAGTGCTTGTTTTGGTGTGGCAACTCGGATGTTCACACCAGTACGTGTTTTGGTGTGGCAACTCGGATGTTCACACCATTACTTGTTTTGGTGTGGCAACTCGGATGTTCACACCAGTGCTTGTTTTGGTGTGGCAACTCGGATGTTCACACCAGTGCGTGTTTGGTGTGGCAACACGGATGTTCACACCAGTGCTTGGTTTGATGAGGCAACTCGGATGTTCACACCAGTGCTTGTTTGGTGTGGCAACTCGGATGTTCACACCAGTGCTTGGTTTGGTGTGGCAACTCGGATGTTCACACCAGTGCTTGTTTTGGTGTGGCAACTCGGATGTTCACACCATTACTTGTTTTGGTGTGGCAACTCGGATGTTCACACCATTACTTGTTTTGGTGTGGCAACTCGGATGTTCACACCATTACTTGTTTTGGTGTGGCAACTCGGATGTTCACACCAGTGCTTGTTTTGGTGTGGCAACTCGGATGTTCACACCATTACTTGTTTTGGTGTGGCAACTCGGATGTTCACACCATTACTTGTTTTGGTGTGGCAACTCGGATGTTCACACCAGTGCTTGTTTTGGTGTGGCAACTCGGATGTTCACACCAGTACGTGTTTTGGTGTGGCAACTCGGATGTTCACACCATTACTTGGTTTGGTGTGGCAACTCGGATGTTCACACCAGTGCTTGTTTTGGTGTGGCAACTTGGATGTTCACACCAGTGCTTGGTTTGGTGTGGCAACTCGGATGTTCACACCAGTGCTTGTTTTGGTGTGGCAACTCGGATGTTCACACCAGTGCTTGTTTTGGTATGGCAACTCGGATGTTCACACCAGTACGTGTTTTGGTGTTGCAACTCGGATGTTCACACCAGTGCTTGTTTTGGTGTGGCAACTCGGATGTTCACACCAGTACGTGTTTTGGTGTGGCAACTCGGATGTTCACACCATTACTTGTTTTGGTGTGGCAACTCGGATGTTCACACCAGTGCTTGTTTTGGTGTGGCAACTCGGATGTTTACACAAGTGCTTGTTTTGGTGTGGCAACTCGGATGTTCACACCAGTGCGTGTTTGGTGTGGCAACACGGATGTTCACACCAGTGCTTGGTTTGATGAGGCAACTCGGATGTTCACACCAGTGCTTGTTTGGTGTGGCAACTCGGATGTTCACACCAGTGCTTGTTTTGGTGTGGCAACTCGGATGTTCACACCAGTACGTGTTTTGGTGTGGCAACTCGGATGTTCACACCATTACTTGTTTTGGTGTGGCAACTCGGATGTTCACACCATTACTTGTTTTGGTGTGGCAACTCGGATGTTCACACCAGTACGTGTTTTGGTGTGGCAACACGGATGTTCACACCAGTACGTGTTTTGGTGTGGTAACTCGGATCTTCACACCATTACTTGTTTTGGTGTGGCAACTCGGATGTTCACACCATTACTTGTTTTGGTGTGGCAACTCGGATGTTCACACCAGTGCTTGTTTTGGTGTGGCAACTCGGATGTTCACACCATTACTTGTTTTGGTGTGGCAACTCGGATGTTCACACCATTACTTGTTTTGGTGTGGCAACTCGGATGTTCACACCAGTGCTTGTTTTGGTGTGGCAACTCGGATGTTCACACCAGTACGTGTTTTGGTGTGGCAACTCGGATGTTCACACCATTACTTGTTTTGGTGTGGCAACTCGGATGTTCACACCAGTGCTTGTTTTGGTGTGGCAACTTGGATGTTCACACCAGTGCTTGGTTTGGTGTGGCAACTCGGATGTTCACACCAGTGCTTGTTTTGGTGTGGCAACTCGGATGTTCACACCAGTACGTGTTTTGGTGTGGCAACTCGGATGTTCACACCAGTACGTGGTTTGGTGTTGCAACTCGGATTTTCACACCATTACTTGTTTTGGTGTGGCAACTCGGATGTTCACACCAGTGCTTGTTTTGGTGTGGCAACTCGGATGTTCACACCAGTACGTGTTTTGGTGTGGCAACTCGGATGTTCACACCATTACTTGTTTTGGTGTGGCAACTCGGATGTTCACACCAGTGCTTGTTTTGGTGTGGCAACACGGATGTTCACACCAGTACGTGTTTTGGTGTGGCAACTCGGATGTTCACACCATTACTTGTTTTGGTGTGGCAACTCGGATGTTCACACCAGTGCTTGTTTTGGTGTGGCAACTCGGATGTTCACACCAGTACGTGTTTTGGTGTGGCAACTCGGATGTTCACACCATTACTTGTTTTGGTGTGGCAACTCGGATGTTCACACCAGTGCTTGTTTTGGTGTGGCAACTCGGATGTTCACACCACTGCTTGGTTTGGTGTGGCAACTCGGATGTGCACACAAATGCTTGGTTTGATGTGAGAACTATGATGTTCGCACCATTACTTGGTTTGGTGTGGCAACTTGGATGTTCACACCAGTGCTTGGTTTGATGTGGCAACTTGGATGTTCACACCAGTGCTTGGTTTGGTGTGGCAACTCGGATGTTCACACCAGTGCTTGTTTTGGTGTGGCAACTCGGATGTTCACACCAGTGCTTGGTTTGGTGTGGCAACTCGGATGTTTACACAAGTGCTTGTTTTCATGTGGCAACGCGGATGTTCACACCAGTGCTTGGTTTGGTGTGGCAACTCGGATGTTCACACCAGTGCTTGGTTTGGTGTGGCAACTCGGATGTTCACACCAGTGCTTGTTTTGGTGTGGCAACTCGGATGTTCACACCAGTACGTGTTTTGGTGTGACAACTCGGATGTTCACACTAGTACTTGTTTTGGTGAGACAAATCGGATGTTCACACTAGTACTTGTTTTGGTGTGGCAACTCGGATGTTCACACCAGTACTTGTTTTGGTGTGGCAACTCGGATGTTCACACTAGTACTTGTTTTGGTGTGGCAACTCGGATGTTCACACTAGTACTTGTTTTGGTGGGACAACTCGGATGTTCACACTAGTACTTGTTTTGGTGGGACAACTCGGATGTTCACACTAGTACTTGTTTTGGTGTGGCAACTCGGATGTTCACACTAGTACTTGTTTTGGTGGGACAACTCGGATGTTCACACTAGTACTTGTTTTGGTGTGGCAACTCGGATGTTCACACTAGTACTTGTTTTGGTGGGACAACTCGGATGTTCACACTAGTACTTGTTTTGGTCGGACAACTCGGATGTGCACACCGGTGCTTGGTTTGGTGTGGCAACTCCAACTCGGTAATGTACTCAAATGTCACGCTGTACAACACTGACAACAAAATGTGAAATGTTATCAAAGGCGGATTTCACGAACACCTCTTTTGGTTATGCTGTCGTCCACTTTAACGAAGTTGTCTGCTTTGTTGGGTGCCATGTGTTTGTGTACAAGCTTTTATGAAACATCTAATCTTTATTTGTCAGTTTGAAATTGCATTTGATAAATTAATGAACAACAAACTTCAATGTTTTCTTAGTTGATAGAATCTTTGTTGAAAATATCGAACACAGGAGAGTGTAGCAAGTACAACATATGCATGTACCATGTAAAATGTATGAATGGACACCGGTGAGAATAAAACTAGTCCCGCTTTCTAATGGAACATTGTCTATTTAAAGCTGTCCAATCAACATCAAGAATCACAAAATGACATGTGCAAATACCGAAAAGTTATTACTCTGGGTCATCTAACCCGTATAGGGGCAAGGATGGCATAGTCGTCTGAGATGCTGCAATTGGCTGTGGACTTTCCTCTCACATCAAGACACGCCATGATATAACGAAATACTGTTCAAAGCAGCGTTAAACCCAATTTACTTACTCACTCATTCTGTGCAATACTCCATTAACGTCGTTTGTGTCCTGGGCATGTGTGCTATCATATCAACATTATCCCCAGTTCAGCACTGTCGTATAATAAGCTTGTTATGAATCAGCAAATAATCTGTCGTTTCCGTTATTCAGCCTACACTCTGACCTGGGCGTTCCCCCTTCCTTCATTATGGCAGTGACAGCTCAACCGCCACATGAAGGCAGAGAATAACACACAAACATGTTATCCTGTTATGTTTGCTTAAACACAAACACAAAACAATATGCTTCAAGATCTTTAAATGTAATTATCACATTAAGAATGAAACTGGTATGTAAGAAAATCACAATGTATATATTGTAAATATACTCTACCTGCAACTGCACACTATAACTTACGTTTTCAGCAGAATCACACATTTCAACTGCTTGTTCGGTGTGATTTTACCGTAATGCCGATTCCTGAGTATTGTCTATGGAGCCGTACATGGCTACAGTTTAGCAGCTTAATCTGCTTAAGGGTCCCGTGTGTTGCTTTGGCTATGTGCATGCAGTCCAATTGCATCGTAGTTCTTGGTTACTATACTTGGTTACTTTACCAGAGATCAAACTCACACACCCTGGTGTCACCCCTGTTTACGGTAGAGTGAACCTGATGTTGTCCTTGAACTTGCTGTCCTTCATGTTCTCATGGAACAGCTTGTCAAAAATTTCGTTCTGATCTGGTGTCAACCAGTTCTGCCAGTCACCCACCTCCCCTGGAAAATAACGAGGCAAATAATGAGTGTAGTGTTCGCAGTCAACATGCTGTTAATTTAATTCAGTAGTTGCACAATGATACAGGTGACACATATCGCCTGGAACATAACGAGGTACATGATCAACATAGAGTGTTCACAGCTGACGCTTCTGTGCCAGAACATGTACACCACCATCAGGGCATCCTGGTGGGCATTCCAGATTATAAATGACCCCTGGTATGAAATGAATGTCGTAAGACTTGACTAAAAAGGTTTGTTTGGTCAAACTTGATGACTCGGTTGATAGTGTGTCATTATACCCTGATGGACACGGTCGTGCACGATATATCAACAGCTGTTTTTTTTCTTTCGATTATTTACAGGCCGCAATCATTATTTTTCTTAGGAACAAACACGTATGAAGATATTGTTGAATTAAAAGACTACTCACTTGATTTGTGTGTGTGTGTGTGTGTGTGTGTGTGTGTGTGTGTGTGTGTGTGTGTGTGTGTGTGTGTGTGTGTGTGTGTGTGTGTGTGTGTGTGTGTGTGTGTGTGTGTGCGTGTGTTTTCTGAACATGAAGTCCAATTGATAACAATTAAAGAGTCCCATGTTTACCGGTTTACGCTCACCCTAAGAGATGTTATCATCATTATTTGATAGTGAATTATAAACACATGCCCATGATTAAGTCATTAATGAACAATGAACTTTGCTTTTAGCAGACATTTCTCACGATTATAGAAATGCCGCTTTTACAATTTTGACATGACTGTAGCGTCTTTGTTTTGATTTGTATGTATACCAGTGGTGTCTTTTGCTTGCCTTTCCGATACACGAACTTAGGTTCATGTGGTTCCTTCTCTTTCTTCATATCCTCGAAAGAGCATTTGTCCGCCACGGCGTTGTATAGTGAGTCATCTCCAGGTACTCCCAGAAACCCTGCCAACTTCCGTATTTCTTCCACGGGGCTCTGGAGACAATATCATGTCAAGTTACAAAAGTTTATATATACATACTTTATAACTCAAAGTGGATTTAACTCTTGAGAAAAATAACAGCTATACAGGTTATACAGCTATATTACCACACTGAATACCATGACAAGTCGCGTGAACTGGGACGAGACGTCCACAGTAACAGGAACAACTATGGGTGTTCATGACTACCAGAAGAAAGCAGCCAACAGCTTTAAAAGCTGACGTGGAGAACGTTGAAAATGTCTTAGCAATGGCCGCAACACGTGTCTCAGGATGACAGTCACCCACGTTGTGCTTGACATTCGCAGTACCGTTTACAACAAAGGCATCACTTTACGAGACCCCACGCCATTACACTGCTGCAAGAAAAAAACCAGTTACGTACTTCCTCTTAGATATAAAACGTCAAATCATCAGTCTCAGTTTCTGCTGAAACAGATTCCTTTGGCCGTAAAAGATAAAATAATGATGAAATCCATATGAATACGTCATGGAAATTTCAACGTTATCCCAAGTTCAGCACTGTCGTACATGTACATTAAGTATGTTATGAATCAGCAAATAATCTGTCGTTTTTGTTATTCAGCCTACACACTAAGCTGGGTATTTCCACGATTAAGGTTCGGCGACATCGCAATCCTGCAGCTCTCAGTCGTCGAATCAGTGTAATTCGGGGGCTTGACGTCTACTGGTGTTTTCAGCCCGTGTCGGTGCTTGTCTGTGTGTCTGTGTGTCTGAAGAGATCGTTGATGTTTTGACATAGCATAGGACGATCTTGTCTGGGTGTTTTACAGGAGGTTGGCCTGATCTTGGACGATGGAGGACAGTACCACTTTGCTGATGACTTGTCTGTGGTGGACTCAGTCGAATTGGAAGAAGTTGTCTGCTGCAGTTTGGGTGGGAACGACCTGGAGCATACCCGAAGCTTGGCCTATCTCCTTCAACGTCAACCAAGGCAAGGTTCTGAACTGTGCTTTGCTTTTATGCGTTGGTTGTCTGTTGGTTTCGCACTAAATTCTTTTACGTACATATTTCTGTGTTACCATATCGTTTCATTTTAGGAATGGACAAGTAACGGTACTACTTTATTGCTTCTACTGTGAGTTGATAAATTAGTTTGGGGTAGCGGATTATTTGTTGTACCCAACTTTGTTGGGTGTAGAGTTAATTGTACTCACACAATTCTTTCTGTAGGGTATTCCAAGTAGCTGTGAACGTACTGACCTGCTTCATGTCTTCATATGACATAATGTGTATTGGATGTCTGTCTCGCTGGATCTTGATGTCCTCCTCCCACTGGAGAACAGAGTCGAACCAGGAACCGTAGTCCGCTGCAAGAGGATGAAGTGTATTTATATAAGACATAACTTTTATGAATGTATACATCATCAACAGATTACTGGCTAAACACGTGTTACCGCGCATCAGTATCATAAACGATGTCCGATGCAATTCCCTTTTTTGACAAAACATTCCCGTGATTTCTCGGGTGAACAATGTATTTACCTTTGCATGTGTTCGTGACAGGTGCCACAATTGTGGCAGGATACACCCACCTTTTCGCGAAAAAACCCTGTTGTCACAGTTCAAAGTAATCATAAACACATGCTCATGATATAGTCGGACAGTGAAGATGTCTTGTAGTTACAGGAAAGGTATTGTCGCTTCCACTGACATATTTTTGTGTTTAACCACCTCTAAAGTTTTCACAGATGAGAGCAGGCGCGCAGTAGGGTGAAGAACGGGTCGTTATTGCTGAATACATATTATTCAATATCCAAACTCAATGCGCTGACGATCTAGACCAAGTATTTGTCAATTTAAACGTAGGTCTTGTCGACTTTTAAGAGCAAATAGAACTCAAAAGCAACAAAATTAAAGTTTGTGTGGAAACGGATCTAAAAGGAAAGCACGTGTTGAAGAAAGCTTCCATCGCCATACAGTCAATATGTAAGTGAGTAATTTTTACCATCAACCTTTTCCAAGTCATTAATGCTACATAAAACACAGGTTCGAATCACTTATAAAAAAAGGCATTTTAAACGAATATGAATCTTTTGACATGCAGTCTCGGGCAAAATGGAACCGGATACTAGATTATAAATTTTGAACAAAAGACAACTTTCTACACAGGTTTACATCGAGATGGCTGTTCAATATTTCTTAGTACATTAGAATGATAGATGGACCTGATTTATTTGATTCAGAAAACATAAAAAGTTACAAAACAGGTTGCAAAAAATCCTTTCATAAGTGAAGCAGATGCCATATCTTAAAAGCAGTGATGCACCAATTCTTACAAAATGTACATGAATATTCACGTCAAATGTTTTTTTCGATTTTCAGAGTGAACGAAAATAGGACAACTAGTGACATTTTTACATCTCCCAAATGTACAAACATATATAATATGATATTGAGCATTGATTAAATTGAGGTTCCTGCAAAAGAAATACATACATCACTTAAACTCTCTTATCGCTGAGAGAACCACCGAAGGTCGTAGTCGGAAGGTTGTTAAAAGTGGTAGTTACAGTATATGTCTGCTTCAACCAAACTTCCCGAACTCCACGCATAACAGAGGGGCCAGCATGTGTGATTTGAATTTTTCGATGGTCTTCATGCTTTCTCTAACATTCCCCACAGCCCCCCACTTAATATGTGAACTATAGTGGAAGCGAATCCTATATGGCAAGATAGAAATAAACGTAACCGAGAGCTGCTTCCATTCCAGGCATCTACAGTTCACTTTACGTACGTAAGTGGCATTTCTATATTCGACCTTGGTTTTCGAAAAAGCAAAACAAAATCTTTCGGCCAGAGGGACATTTGCTGGCGGCGGGAGGTGAGAAACAAGTAAAGCCAGCTTGACAATCAATACCCATTTCATCTATATTCCCAAGCCCAAATTAAAATGTGATGCAGATTGAATCATAGGGATTTGTAACGCTCAAAAGAGCAGCTACAGGTATATGGTACACTGGGTTTTTTTACGTTACAAGCCTCTGTGGATAAAATGACTTACTTTTCCCAGCCAGGAAGAAAGGGAGATAATCGTTAAACGATCCACTGTACCCTCCGTAAACTTTCTTGAAAGACCTATGGTGGTGATAGTAGGACAAGGCAACATCCTTAGGGTTTCTCAGGAGATAGATAAGCCGACACTTCTTCTCTCTGGCTTGTAACGGAAGTTGGTTGTACCGGACATGCGTGTTGAGGACACGAGGGGATGCTGGGAAGGCGTCAATGACTTCCTGTGTCCGGAATTCCACCATGAGCTCACTCTTGCTGTGAGGGATGGCATTCGCACTTCCCTGGAGCAACATGGATGTCACTTCCCAGAGCCAGTGGGTACCTGAGATCATTTGAAATGTAATGTATGAGTATTGTTATTGCTTTTTTTGTACTACAATAAAACACAGCTTAAACTCCCTGGTACAAAATGTTTTCTTTCATTTATCTGTTGGTTTGATGTTTTGTGTCCTTTTCTACAAAAATTAAATATAATATTAAACATAAGTATTCCTCTAGTGATGCTTAAGTGATGCCGTTTCAATCAGAAGTGGTTATTTGTGATTTGATACCTCTGAATGACATCAGAATCGAGTATTATTCAAATTGATGGTAGCATTGTTACTATTCAAACTTCAAACACAATTATTCTTATTACTCGCCCGTAAAGAGATCACGCGTTTAATAACAATAAGCTGGTATAACACAGTGCTTAATACCAAATTGCGTGCAAATATACTGCTGGAAGAAGTATCACAAACAAATATTGAACACTCTCAACATCCCTTGGCTCATTCAAAGACATTGCGTGCAGAGATAATAGATCACAGAGAGGTCGCTAGGCTGACGTCACATGTCATTGTTTCGCCGATGTGTTCAGCAAAAACATTTACAAATTACGTCATTGAGTATTGTGACGTGATTGTAAACTTTGTGGTACGGCCAACGCTCCACAAGCCGATCTAAGCACGACAGTCGTAAAGTCTATGTCAAAGTATGGGAGTTACGATACCTTAGCCCTACGGAAGATTTGTGGAAATATATTTATCGATCCTCAGCATAATAATAATAATAATAATAATATATATATATATATATATATATATATATATATATGTGTGTGTGTGTGTGTGTGTGTGTGTGTGTGTGTGTGTGTGTGTGTGTGTGTGGCTAAAAGTCACTATAACCTGTAAAGCTACCTGATTTGGGATATGCAAGAAGAAAGATATCGTCGTCTTTCACCTTCATCTGTGGCAAACCCTTGATTGTTTCTGGGTCAACCAGAGGATACCGAAAGCCATCGACCTCCAAGAAGCTGATAGAGTTACCTCCCATGTCATGGTCCTCGACAACAGACATGCTGTTTAAGCGGCTGATGGAAAAATATAGATGAATGAAAGACATTCGCATTTGCAAGATGCATACAAAATGTGACCATCATGGAGTATGTGTGCCTGTTTTTGTTGGTTTCAAAATATCCACAAATAAACCATATGCCATCGAAAGTATATCCTTCTAAATGTAGCTCTGCCGGAAATGCCGAATGTGTCTTATAGCTACCAACTTCGAGTGAGTAAGTTTGATTTAACGCCGCTTTTAACAGTATTCCAGTTATATCGCGGCGTGTCAGCTTAATGTGGGAGGAAAGCCCGAAGTGATGCAGGTCTCAGACGTTACCATTTCGGTGAAACCCACGAGCACGGGTATGGTGCTGACAAACCTAGAAACATAATTTGGGCCAAGCGGGATTCGAACCCACAATCATAGATTTCTGGCGTGCCCAATGGACGCAACTCTGCACAGCAAATCGCGGCGCCTTAGACGTCTGGGCCACCAGTGCCCCCTACATACTTCGAAATAGGCTTTTACGACAATCATGTTAAAGAGGGTTACCAGCTGTGCCCCAGAATTCCAACATGGCAAAGGATTATGAAACTATTGGTACGGAAATATATGTCAACTATTGTTTTTTTTGTTCGCATTGCCACAGAAAACACACATTTCAACAAGAACGCAAATTACATCTTTGTCTAATATTTTGTTAGTAAACATTTAAAAACCTTTCAGCACATAACAACCCACACTGTCCAAAGCGATGATTCCCAATCCATAATCATAAAAGAGTCCATTGTTGAGTTTTCGACTGTATAATACGCATGTGTTTATGAATCACAAATAGTGACGATACCAGGTGTTCGCGAAAAGTTGATCGCATCCTGCCCTACCACATTCGTCACCACTCGCCCCTTTCCGTAACCTGCAAGAAGACTCGTCCCCCTATCGATGAATGTGATGTGCGAAAATACGACAAACCAATCAGAAAGCGCGTATGATTTCAAGTACTTCGTCAAAGAATCCCTCAGAAATAATTTTTGATTTTACATATGTCTTGCATATAAAAATATACCCAAGACACAGTTAAATGTGTTCAGTCATACTGTATAATTCCGCACGTCCCGGTGTGCTTTAAATTGCATCTGAAATATATATAATATATGGGGAAATATATGTGAACCATTACGCAACGAATTGACAATTGTTTTAGGTACATTGTATGCCCGTTTGCGCTAAGACGGAACCCGGTCGCAAAAATGGCCACGAGAGGGGCACGAGTCGCTATTCGGCTTGTCCCGGAATAACACGAGTTGGTCACGAATGGCCCTACCAGTGGCACCAGTCATGATCCAATCTGATATGTCGTAAATACATTGTTTTGCACCTGTGACGAAGTCACAGTGATATGATAGTTTTGGTTTGAGCAAATAGCTTTCAACAGCGCATGCAAAGGTCACGTCATGTCAAATATCAAGCTCAAGTTCGAATTCACCAGAAAACGACAGTTGTTCCTGAATAGAGATTTGTAGTGAAGCAGTTTGCATAGCTGTCTTACCTTGATGGGAGTGACGTTTCAACTGTCTGATCTGTTTGTGGACGGGGTTTTATCTATGCGACCATCCACTGACCCGTGAAATTACGACCCTTATCGAAACCGTGTTTCAGCATGTTATTGGAGGGCTGGGACGGGCAGGAGGGGTTGGGGTGTCGTTCGTTTTGACAGAGGTGAGATTATCGAAAACGATGCGTATCATAGGGGAGTTTGACGGCCAGGAAAGTGGGTATGTTGGGCGAGATGTTGGGGGTGTTTGGGGCGGTTCTTTGGGGCGTAATTGTTCTCTGTGTGAACAAAGACGTAGGTTTGGAGAGGTAAAAGGACAATGGGTAGCCGTTGGGCAAATGTTTCACCCATCAAGCCGAAGGTTCAGATTTTATTCCCGACATGATTTCCCCAGATATTCCTGTAATATATTGCTGACGCGGCGTAACCAATATTCACCCACTCAATTTAAGTGGAAGAGTGAGTGAGGGAGTGAGTACGGTTTTACGCCGCTTTTAGCAATATTCAAGCAAAATCAAGCCTGTTGACACCAGAAATGGGTTTCACACATTGTACCCATGTCGGGAATCGAACCCGGGTCTTCGGCGTGACGAGCGAACGTTTGAACCACTAGGCTCCCCGACCGCCCTGAAGTGGAAGAACATGTTGTTAGTTGGTTTGTTTGTTTGTTGTTTTACGCCGCACACGGCAATATTCCAGCTATATGATGGCGGTCTGTAAATAATCGAGACAAGACAATCCGGTGACTCATATCGTGAACATCGATCCACGCAATTGATCCAACCAACCAAGTCAGCGAGCCTGACCACCCCATCCCGTTAGTCGCCTTTTACGGCAAGCATGGGTTGCTGAAGACCTGCTCTACCCCGGATCTTCACGGGTCGGAAGAACATGTGAGTGGGCGGATAGGTGTGTACTGCAGATCTTGAGGAAATAGAGTTAGTTGTTTATGGGTTTGAGGGGCGTGGGAGGTACAATCATACATTTTGCTCCAGTTCACTCTTTGGGAGACAAGGGAAAATGGGATTAGTTGTATCATCTTGGTTCCAGTCTGCGATGCAAGAATATCAAGAATATGCTTATGTAACAAACAATGTTGTTTTAAGTGCTTAAATATCTGTGTTACGGGCCAAGTCCCAATAGATGTTGAGGTAAGGTCAGTTTCAACAGGGCTATGATCAAACAGATTCATCTGATCACTTCCAAGATGTGAAGATACAGCACAAAGTGAGGGCGGTGAGACGTTCTGGCACATGGGCAGTCTTTCCGATAAAAGCAACCAAACACTTTTCATGATCATAAAAAGTGTCACACACTAGCCAACATACTGTGGCGACAGTCGTAAAAGACCATTATAAAAGGGTTACTCGATATCAAAACAAAATGTCTGTTCAAACTAAAAACAGATATAAAAATCGACCGTCATATTATGAGAGTATCTTGTGGTGGGATTTCATAAATGCAGTGAGGTCATTTTATTTCACGAATACAACGCTTCCCGGATAATTATAAAGGCAAGGGGATATCCTCATTTGAGCACTTTTAGCGATGGTGAATGTGAAATGGTTATGATTAAATTGGATTTTTCACTGTTAGTAAAGGCCAAAGGCAGTTAAGATGTCACACTTTATCCGAGATTGTCGGTCGTGTACACGTATTAACCCATACTACCTTATAATATCGCCAGTCTCTGTCAGGAATCTAGTTCAGCACGAGTTCGTTCCGCTTTGGAAATGAGACATTTCTGTGCAGAGCTTGTGACGTTTATGTCGATACAATATGCGGCCTCAGGATGACGCGTGTTCCTGAATTAGAGTGTCAGTGCACTACATGAAAATCTGGATTTGTTTCTGTTTGGAATACATCAGAACTATACGTAGTCTGTAAATGAAGTCACTTCTTTCTATTTATTATTCCCCTCACGAAGTGGAAGGGGATATAGAAATGTGTGCTGTCCGTCCGTTCTTCCTTTAGGCGTCCGTTCGTCGGCTACATTTCGTTTACCGAGTACAACTAGAATACCATTCAATATTTTATTACGGAACTTAGCATATATATCAAACACATGCTGAACTGGTTCTTTTTCATGTTTGGGTATTTTTGAAACATATCTTGTGTGTTTCCATGGCGACAAACTGGAATAAGACTCAAATACGCATATCATCGGTTTCCATAGCATTACTCGGAAACCGTTTTATATCATATTATGAAACTATTCACATGTATCACCAAAACTGGCTATTGTAATATCAAGGTGGAACAATATATATCGAATCTACTTCGATGTTACAACTGTCAGAAGTTTGGCCATGGTGCCCAATCTTGCAGAAATCGCATGACAAGCTTCCGATGTGCTGAAGCTGCACATGAAGGTTCAGATTGTCTGACACCTCCAAAATGTGTTAATTGCTTTTGAGAGCATACGTCTTCATCAAAACCATGTCCAATCTGTCAGCATGAATATGAAATAAAAAAATTCAAAATTCAAAAGAGTATTACTATCATGAAGCCAAACCTTTATTAAATGCAACCTCCCCTCCAAAAGCTAGTATGTCATACTCTGCAATTGTTTCTCGCCAAATTACCAAATCAGTTAAGTCTGTAGCATGTCAGACTGACATCACCTGGGCAAACAAAGATAAGAACACAGCTATCAAATCAACTTCAACTGTAGATGACGCTATTGCATCAACTGAATCTCCGACTGATCACCCAACAAGAATTTCATCTCCCATCCCAAGTGAAAAAGAAGACTACTCAAAATGGTCAGATCGAGTGCCCAAGGGTTTGCGTGATACTGTGCAGGTTTTTAATAAATTCCAGATACTGTAAGACATAAATGTCTCCCCGATCCCTGAGCTCGCAACAGAAGCAAGTCACCTCAGGTGGGGAAAAGTAGATCTCCAGTGCTTCCACCGCCAATTACATGAACAATGATAACTCCCTAATTCAGTGGACTTGCAGAGGTCTAAGGACCAATTTTAAAGAAATTCAATTATTGGTACAGGAATTTGAGCCATCAGCAACTTGTCTTCAAGAGACATATATTAAGCAAACAAATACATTTGACTTCCGTTAGTCCATATCATTCATTTTACCCTCCGGGTGTTAAAGGCACTGGAGGATCTTTCATCCTGGGGCTACAGGTTGTGATTCACAGTCCTGTGTCTCCATCTCAAAGCTATTGCAATACGTCTAACTTTGCACATTGCATTTACTCTGTGCTAACTCTATATTCTTCCCTGCTCTAATCTGAACCGTTCTGAACTACAATCTTTATATGACAGACAACAGACAGACAAATTTATTCGCCTCTTCAGGCCACCGGCCCATAATACAATAGAAATATACTGTATATATATTTGCATGCTGAGTAGATCTAATAATGATTTACCGTCCAACACTATGTTTCCGTTCGAATGTTCATGACTTGGAACAGAAATTTACCTAAACTTTTTTATAATTTGTTCGTTTTCAGCTGACATAAGTCTTATAAAATTCTCAAATAAGGGTTGGGGTAACGAGACGCTTGGGAAAAGAGTTTCTTCTTGCTCTAGAATACTGGTCACAAATCATAAGAACAAGGAATTCATCTTCAATATGGTTATGTCCCTTCGAAAAACCGAAAGAGCAGACACGTTCATTATATGGCATGTTGTTTTGACGCCCCATTTCAACAGCAAGTCTAAAATTATTACACCGAACAGTCTGCTTTGGTAAGAAGACATATCACAAGTAATATATGATTCCACATATAGTAATGACTTGAACTGTGAGTAGTATTGCATTTCGTTGATGATGTCATGGAAAAGTGCCACTATTGAGTGAGGCAGTCGTAAAATCTTCGTTTAAAATCTGTCATGAAATGTTGAAAATTACCAATGTCTTGGCTCAGCCAAACAAATCCAAATCCAAACTGGAATAAAATCATTCAAATATGTGGTGCCTATGCAATTTTACCATTATCATCAAGAGATTTTAGTAGATAATACTTGGATGGGTAGCCTGTGTTGTTCCATCTGAATTAGTCTGTACCAGTACTTGACTGCTCTTGACGTGTAGTTATCCTGTAGGGGGATCCTACCACAGTCTCCTAGAACCATGTTGTTATTGGTGAACTTATTTACTTTGAGGCAAGTGAAATTAACACTATGTGGATTCTCAAAAACACAATGGACTTGTTAGACTTTTTACAATCTCAGAAAGGAACCAGGTTCAATTCTGTCAAAACTTTGACAAACTACACAACCATGACAAACTTAAGGGAAATCTTCATTCCTTACCCCATTGGGTACAGTTACATATCTATCTTTAGGGCAATTTGTTTGAAATGAAATTATTTGCCATCTGAGTGAGTGAGTGAGTGAGTGAGTTGGGTTTCACGCCGCTTTTAACAGTATTCCAGTTTATATCACGGCGTCTCAGCTTAATCTGGGAGGATAACCCGAAGTGATGCAGGTCTCAGACGTTTACCACTTCGGTGAAACCCACGAGCACGGGTATGGTGATTTGCCATCTGAAGTTAAATGAGAAAGCAATGCGTGAAAAGCTGTAAAAATGTATGTAAAATTGGATGTAAGACATTTAGGCAAAAAGTCGGCATCCCCATGTGTGACAACTGTGCTACCCGTCTTGTTGATGAGTTTCTTTATGCATTTCTGCTTGGAGAGCCAATGTCAAAACAATGCAGTTTGGCCAAGATGTTTTACTTGATCTTTAGGAATATACATGGCCGGAGACCGTCAATTCTGAACCAATTCCCTCCCACTTATGCACCAACCTGAACTAGAAATAGAGGAGACCAGTGAGACTGCCTCATCTGTTTCATATTAGATCTAAGTACCACCATTCAAGTGACAAGTGAGTGAGTGAGTTAAACTTGTACGTCACATCGGCAGTATCTCAGCCATATAGTGACGGGAACAAATTGAAAGATAAATACCGGTCACAAAGGACAGTAAAACATCAGCGTGACATCACAGATTGGAATCTAATAGCTAACGCATTCTAATACTAAAACGTCTAATCAATATATATTCATCAACTTTACATTTTATACTATTAAAATACGAGCTATATACCACCAGTAGCTAAAGCCAGACCCACTTACTGGGGACCATTGAGAATTACAGTACTTTAGCTACCTGCATGAATCCCCAACAGGATTTAAGTCATAACTCTAGGCACTGGTAGTTGTAGACAAAACTAGCCATACA